TATTAAAATAAATATTGATTTATTAAGAAGAAAACATATGCATACATTAATTAATTGTAGGAGTTTATGTACTACTAGTAAGATATTTATACATGATTGCTTGTATAGTTGTATATGTCTATCATTTTATATTATTTTTATCAGGGAGGACATGAAATCAACCCATGACTTCATCTTTATGCCTTTTTTTATATATATAAAAAAAGAACAAAAGTACATCACATCTGGAAGTCATGGACTTTAGGGGATTCGGATTCACGGTATAAGTTCTTTTTTTATCAAAACCAGAGTCAAGAGTAGTGTGAGCACAACCTTTTTCTCCTAGGGTAATGGCAAATGATGCCTAAAGAAAAGATAGGGCATTATACATAAATGATTGACATAAAGGTTTTTATGCACTAATCCTTTTTTTTGGCCTGCAACTCTTGCCACTTCATGTCATAATAATTAAAGAAAGACATTCGGATATGATGTCTTCTGTTCAATTGATTGTCTATATGACTTGAAGGCAACTTGAGTCTTTAATCACTATATATTTTTAGGTTTGAAGTGCTAAGGCAATCCCGGGCTTCAAACTAAAGTGAAATTCAGTCAAAATATGCAGGTAAGATTTATTTTTCCTTCCCCTTGCTAGCTTTTCACTTGTATCGCAAGGTTTGATGCTTCTCACTTGTGTATTGTAAGTTGGCGCCTTGATTTCGTAACTTGTGGGTGGAAGTAAGTAAACAAGATTGGAAATGTTATCTCCTGTAACTTAGGCAATAATATAATTTTTTTTTTAAAGACAAATTGAGATGTGAACATGGAATAAGCTGGGTTTATGTGCAATCCAATAGGATATTGCATATATATATATATATTAAATGCTTACAAGGAAGGAATCCCAAAAAAGGTTAAGCCAAATATTGAAAAACACCGCGTCCCCGGAAAAGAAAAAAAAAAAGGATAGAGGAAAACCAAAGTGACCCAGCTCAAAGGGCTAAGCCGAACTAAAGGGACATTATTTGGAGAGAATAATCAAAAAAAAAAAAAGAAAGAGGGGGCTTTGTGGATTATTTAGAGCACAAAGACATTTTCCACTGAACAACATATTTTACTGGAAACACAATAATTGCAGCCTTTGACGTTTCTCTCTTACTCCTTAAAACCCTCTTCAACACCCACACGCAAACTCCTTTGACTCTCGACAAAAGAGAAAAAGAGAAAGAAAGCAAAGGGCAAAGGGCAAACAAAAATCACAGCCGCAATTTGGCTTACGAAAGCCAACTTTTCTTTCCATACTATTGCACAAGTGGGGTGTGAGCATTTGCTTGTGGGAATCTCGTCCTTTTTTTTTTTTATTTCTTTAAGATTTTTCATTTTCATTGTGATTTTCTTTTCCTTTTCAATTCAGCCCTTACAATTTATTAAATTGTGGAAAAGGAGTTTCCCTTCTCCCTACGGAATCAGGCTTCTTCATTTGTCAATGTTTGAGGCTCCAGTTTAACTAAATCGCAGCTGTCCCACGTTACCCCCACTATCACTTTCTTCTCCCGCAACTACCCCTACTATTTTCCCATTACTTCAACGCTGCCATTTACCCTTTTAATTCTTTTTATTTTCTCTATTAATATATAATAATTTACAAGGGTGCTTGGGACTGTGAGAGTGCACCAGTGACATGGATCCAATCTTCCTCTCTTATATTTTATCATTGAGTGCTTGAAGTTTTCTATATATTCTATCCTTTTAAAGTAAAACACCATATTAATTCAGCGGATGCAATTGAATAGGTGCAGCTATTCGCATTGGCTATTCATATTCTATTTCAATATTTACACCATTCTGGGTATATAGCTAATATCGGAGGCAAAACCTTTTAAATTTGCAGAGAAAATTTTTCATTTTTATGATAGGTTTGCAAAATCTTTTTCCAACTTCGTAATCCAAAGCACTTCAAAATTTTCGCTAAAAAACTTAATGAATAAATTAAATAAATTAATAAATCAAGTGAAATTTAAACTTAAAAACTTAAAAGATTTATTATTCTGATCTTTACATTTAGATAAAATCTCAGTGGCTTTTGTATTACCTTAATTGGTGCTTGACATAAGAGTTTATCACTTCCAAAGGTTGCGCTATAATTAATCAATTACAATTACAAATTACCTAAGGTTCAACAAAATACTATGGAGCTTATCTTTATAAACTGTTGATTCCTATTTACTTTTTATCTATAGTTGGATAATTACTAGATTGCAGTAAAAAGAGTTGTAGGTGAAATGTTTTCCCTTGGCACACTCTTATTGTGCATGAAGTAATTAATAATTGTTTTTTATAATTGAGAGAAAAGATATTCAAATTTTACTTTTTAAGTATCGGGATAATGTATCAACTAATGAATTAAATATTTTAGTGCGAAGTAATAAATAATTTTATTATTTTAAAAATGTCAAGGAGAAAAAAAATTACAATTATTTGAAAATATAAAAGAGAGAAAATCAAGAATAAATGAACGTAAAATTTAAAAATAAAGAAAAGAAATAAATATAAATGTAAGTTTAAAAAGAAAAAGGATATAAATTATACTTTCAAAAAAAGTGAAACCCTCATATATCTTTATTAATTTATATTTATAATATTATTATGATAAAATTTTCAATCAATTCATCAATTGAGTTGATGTCACTTGATTATTAATAGTAAACTTAGCAATCGGATTTAATAATAATAAAGATAAACTATAATGTGTGTAATTTATTATGCTTGGTAGAGGACAAGAGCAATTATTATTGCATAGTTTTGTGGGAAAAATGAGCGGCAATAGAAACAAGAGAGAAAAGAAAATTGGAAAAAGAAGCAAACAGCAAAGGGCTTTGTAAGGGTACGTTTGTCTTTTGGGAGGAAGAGATTCGTGAGACGATCACTCCTTAAATTTTCCATCTGATCCAAAATAGTGAGACAAGAAGATTTAGGAAATCTTGAAATGGGGCATCACTTGAAGGTGGCATTTTTGTCAGTTACCCTGAATCCGACGTGGGTGCCCGTCGTTTTGGAGGCAAGTAGGTCCCCTGACCTTTATTCCCTCACCCACCTCCCCACGAGGCCATAACTTCAAACCTTATGACCCAAAATACCCTTTCCCTACTTCAACCAAAATTATTCCTTTTTGCCCGCCATCTTAAAAAAAAAGGGGGATAACATTATTTTTAGTAGAATAGTCCTTAGTGGTATCATCTAATTAAAAGAAAAAGAAATAGTAAGATGCGGATGTCAATGGACCCTATTTCGTTTCTGTGAAGAATCTCCAGCGCATTGTCAGTTTCAAGGACGCCTCACCCTAAGGAACGACACCCCCCCCCCTGTTCTTCTTCTTCTTCTCCTTCTTCTTCTTCTGTACGACATAATCGAGTTAGTTAAACACGCATTTCGATGCGTGCACCCGATGATTCCAATTGTTTTACTAATATTCAAACTGGAGAAATAATAGTACCGATACTGGGTGAAGAATTTTTTCCAGGGAAAGGGGCGGCCGCTTAGTTTTATTTTTAATTATTTTTTTATATTAAAAGATATCTCCCATTTGTACAAGTAATCGTCTGCGGAAGATTTGATAAGCATAATAATTATATAAATCACGTTTTTGATGCCGTATAAAACAATTGTAGCCTCCAATTTCCTTTTATCATTCCATTTCTGGAAATTTTCCTTTTTAATGCATATTTTAATATTATGAAGATATAATTCATCAAACTTGCCTAGAGGTGCAAAATCTTTTAGGGCGATCTCATACCTTGATTTGGTAGCGAATTTCCTTCTAATATTACAAAAGCAATAGAAAATCAAAATAATCTGATTATTCATAAATGAATATAAATTAATATAGATGCACATGTTTTTCTTATAAAGAGTGCACATCTAACTCAAAATTTGACTTAAGCTTATTGCATATGTAAAAAATTAAATTACATTTCTAACGTTCCACCAATTGGTGATAGTTTCTTAACAAGTTCACGCATCAATTACAATATGTTTATTCTTGTGGCATAAACTAAGTGATTGCTTTTGTTAAAACGCACAATCCATGTATTTGTTCAAGTAATTTTCTCATGGCATGCGGTACGACGCTTGCGAATTCCGTAATGATGCAAGCAAAATCACAAAAGAATATTGAGATCCTTATAATCAATTCCTTTGTCAATTCACCAAGACTAATTCTAAAAACCTCAAAATTCAAAGCACATTCATCGCAAAAAAATTCAAGTAACAGCCACGGTCAAGTAATAACATTGAACAAAGTCGGGGCCAATGAAACTTGAGACATTTCGTGAAAGTGTTGCTCTATCCAGAAACCAACGGCTAACAATATTTTGTCCCCTGGGACCTGCAACCCCCTAGGACCGCCTGAGAGGCCTTTTGTGAAGGGCACTTTCGTACTTTCGACACCGCGCCATTAAAGACCTTGGTGAGCTCCAGCTGTAAGCATATGACACAAGGTGACTTCACCCTTACGAGGCTGCAACCTTTATATTCCTAATGGAGGGCAGTCCGGACTCAGGATTATTCCAAATTTACTAAAATGGCCATCTTATTTTATTCTGACCAAAGAACCCCTCTAACCGACCGAAAGTTTGACAGGGGAAGGGTGGTGTGGTAATTGAGCAATCACCCCAGATGACCGTGTTAAACTTAATTAAAAAAATGTTAAGATCCTGTGGAAGGAAGGGAAAACGTTGAAAAGAGCTTTAACAGCTACGGTTATTCCCATACACAAAGGTCGAACAGAACTAGGCTTCAAGCTGAGACGCATTCGGTTCCGTTTCGATTAAAAACTTTAACCTTTTCGAAGAGAGCTAGTTTAACTTGTTGAACTTGTTAAAATAGCGTCAAAAGAACAACAAGGGAGAAAGGGGAGGGAAGAGCTTGAGTCTAGTTTACGCCAAATGGGTCGTCCTTATTCTATTCCCCTCTTTTAAGACCCCCTTCGCCTTCAACACCGCATTACTATAAAGAAGCCACACTTTCCCTCTCAGGTACCCAACTTCCCCCCCAACTCCCCCTCTCTCTCAACTTACGACTTTTCCTTTTCTTTTATATCCTGAATTCTTTCTCCTTTTCTTTTTCTTGTTCCCCTCTTGAAATTCTCTATTATTTTGAGGGAGTATAAGAAGGCAAACTGGGATGCTCGAATTGTAGGCTGAATTGGGTGTTTGAAGACTCCTCCTCTCGCTCTTTCTCTTTTCTTTTTGCTTTTTGTTTCCAGTTGAGTGTTTTTGTTAAGCTGCTTCAGAGGCCTCTTGGTTTTCAGCCGTTTTCTTAGTTGGATTCCTCTCTCAAGGATGGAGAAGCTTAATTTTGTAAAGAATGGTGTGCTTAGATTGCCTCCTGGATTCCGCTTTCATCCTACGGATGAAGAGTTAGTGGTTCAGTACTTAAGACGAAAGGTGCTTGCTTGGCCGTTGCCTGCCTCTATCATTCCTGAAGTTGATGTTTGCAAAGCTGATCCTTGGGAATTGCCAGGTTGGTTACTTAAACATAACACAAGCACAACTTGGAGAACTCAGTCATAAAATTTGGTTTCTTTAATAAAACCTCAAAAGAGCAGCATGAAGTAGATTGTCATTTACAGCCCAATCACTTTGTTCTGTAGCTAGAGCTAACTTCTTGTATCAATTGTGGAAGTAGCGTGCTGACATAGTTTTAAATGTAACAGCTCTTTGAGCTGCTAACACATAATAAGCCTGCAGGACAAATTAGATGGTCTGATACAGTAGGTCTCTGTGTGTGTATTACCAGGTGATTTGGAGCAAGAGAGGTATTTTTTCAGCACTAGAGAAGCCAAGTATCCCAATGGGAATAGATCCAACCGAGCCACAGTCTCAGGTTATTGGAAAGCAACCGGAATTGACAAACAAATTGTAACTTCTAGGAGCAACCAAGTTGTGGGCATGAAGAAAACTCTGGTTTTTTATAGAGGAAAGCCCCCACACGGATCTAGGACCGATTGGATCATGCATGAATATCGCCTTGTTAGCGCTGAGACAGCAGCCTGCAATGCCCCACAAAAGAAGAACCAAACTCAGGTAAATTTTCAGTCTTGCGCATTTTTGTTGCTTTATTCTTATATATTACTACTACTTGTAGGTATTGAGATAGGGGTTTAGCTGCATAATTCAAGCCTCTCATCCACGAACACATTTCCAAAACTCTGGAGTCATGTTTTACACCTAGTAGTTATAATAATAATTGGCATCACATTGTTGCTTTAATTATGCTATATATGTTGGTCAATCAACTTAATGATAATTTTGTGTTAAAACTTCTGCAGAGCCATGTGGTGCCAATGGAAAATTGGGTGCTGTGTCGCATATTTTTGAAGAAAAGAAGTGGTACTACTAAAAATGATGATGATAGCATGCAATCTTGCAACGAAAACGGAGCTCGTAAAGTAAGGACAAGCAGGCCTGTTTTCTATGATTTCCTGACCAAGGACAGGACTGACTTAAATCTTGCCCCTTCTTCCTCGTCCTCTGGCTCTAGTGGGATCACAGAAGTTTCCAATAATGACACAGATGACCACGAAGAAAGCAGTAGTTGCAATAGTTTTCCTTATTTTAGAAGAAAACCTTAAAACCCACAATTCACACTTGCTTTTCGTGCCTGTACCACTAGTTGTGCTTCTGATCAGCCAATCAGAATAACCCCTTTATCAAACAAAAGGAAGAAAAAAAAAAGAAGGAAAGAGAAATCTAGTGTTTGGTAATGTAAGTCTTTGCGTCTCTTTGTCTGTGATTGTCACGCAACAGAAAGAGATATCAAGAGAAAGAAAGAAAGAAAGATAGAATTCGGCATTAACTATTATATGAAGAGCAAACTCTCTTAAACACTTCGTGCCCCTTTGTAATGAATCTCCGAATTTCAAAAGTCCTCTTTTTGGCATTTTGCAAATGTTTTCAACAAACATGCTATTATTCAAGTTCAAAGTTGCTTTGCAGAACATGCAAAGCAAGTTCTTTACAAAAAGGCAACTAGTTTTTAAGAGAAGAAAATGCAAGAGGCGCAGAGAAGAGAGAGTGGATGACAGAAGGAAAAAAGATAAAGGCGTATAATAACATATAATTTAAAGCTTTGGCAAAAGCAAAATCCTTTTTTGGGAGAACAAGAATAAGCATAAGATCTTTGCAAATCAGCATTTGCACGAGGTTCCCTTCTCCCTTCCGGCAAGGGTAAAATCACTTGAAAAGAAAAGGAAACAAAAGAACCCAATTCCCTTCGGCACTATTTCACAATGGATGGAATCTCCAAGCAATCCTGAGCCGGCACCTAGTTCCAATCTTCCTGTACACTCCAATCCGTTGTATATCATTGAAAAACGAGCAAATTCTGTGCCAAGAAACAGAAACAGACATTCTGGGTATATTTTTTTCAGCATTTGTAACCATTGTCGCACACTCAACACTCATATAACAATAACAAGAAACAGGACGGAGTGTGTCTAAGGTTGTAGGAAAACAGGGTTAACTAATATTGGAATTTACAAGACTAGTTGGTGGAAGTAGGGAGACTTAAGTTATCGAGATTCTTCACCCAGGATGGCGGAATTTAACAATGAGCCTGGGGTCCCATCCAACTGTTCCCATAGCCCAAAAAATTGATCTTATGACTTTTTAGTTGTCAAGCATATGATTTTCTTGCAAAGATTAAACACACACCGTAAAACAAGTTAATCATCAGATGATGACCTATTAAGTTCCTTGTACATAAAGAAATGTAGACCCTCTAATAACTTGTACCCAATAGAAAACATTCTCGCCATTTGAAAATTTGTTAGCGAAGGGATTTTAGCAGTAAGATTCTCCCACTACTGTCCAACTACCCTGCAGGTTTGACTCCAATAATATATATACCAAAATAACATCAGATGTATTATACTTTTTTCACAATTCTTAATCGGGAGGAGTTCCCATTCACTGTGTATATACTACACGTGTCTTGCATGCAAGGAGCATGTCCCTTTTATAGTTGACTTACTCCTGATAATTAACCCATAAGCTGAAAATACAAGTTATCAAATTATGATCATCGTCCATGACTTGGTGATTTATACTGGCAAGTGTAAAAAAAAAATGTTATATAAGGTGGGTTGTCACAGTACACAAAGGGACAAAGATGGATGCGAATGCGATATCGGAATTCATAAACCTGAAAGGTTAAAGAGTGGGCCATGGAGCTTTATAGGATTGCCAAGTGGATGCCAGACAGACTCAGGACGGCATAGATTATACCTTGATTAAGAGTCTAATCGTCCATAATTGAGGAATTGCTATGCCATAACAGGAAGGGAAAAACAAGAATTAAAGTTTAAATTAAGGGGATGACCCAAAAAACCATATATATATATATATATATATATGCCGACCAGAGTTGCTTGTGACAATGGTTTTAGAATCAGCTCAGGCTGTTGGAGTTCTTCACGTCACTTTTGTATATGTATAAATTTCATTTTCATGACAACAATGGGGGAGAGAAAAAGAGAAGGAAATTGGATTGGGTCGTGGGATTGGTGATTTGGGCTTCAACTTGTCAATCACGTGGGGAGTCCCTCTGATAGCCACAAAATGAACAGCTCCAAAACGTTTTGTAGCCTCACCTGGTTAGGTCAATCACTTTAAAAACCGTACCTACCCTTGAGAAAGTACAAGCCCAGTGACTATCACAATGGGTAAACTTGACATTTTAAAAACGCAACACCTTCCGGACTGGGAATGTAATATCAATTATGCAGGTTGACCAGTTCCCAAAAACCAACCACTTTTATGCGATGCTTGTTTGGACAGATTGAAGTTTGAGGGGTTGCTTGGTATCTCTGCAACAAAGACATCTCCAGTATTTTAACCGCATTCAAAACTATATTGTTATCATCTAAATATGATTCTAATCGACCCAAAGAAATGTTATTGTTATGGGACCCTTGCTGTAAATGACCTCAAGAACACCCCCCCTCCCCTCCACAAAAAAATCAACCATTTCTACATTTAAAAGGGGATCCAAAGCCTGAGCATCTCACAAGAAGCTGATGCTGAAAGCTTTTCCTTGAGGAATTGAATTGTAAAGTGGGTAAGTTGCTCTGCCGCACGGCATCTGGCCATAAATAACTCATGCCCTGAAATGAATGCCTAGCTATCGTACTTGAGAAATGAATTCTCTAAACAGCTGAGAATGGTCAATGATATTTCAGGCTGTTGCCCATCCAACAGGTTCCACCATGCATTTAAAATGCTGAGCTCATTATTAACAGAGAGGCGCATGGGATGCCAGCAACGTCCTTGATGGTCGTAAGAGTTTCCAAATATACGCTCTAACCACAGCTAAAGATTCTTTTTCAGCTTCCTGCAAAAGTAATAACATTTTAGTCTTGTTAACTCCACGTAAACCATCAAATATTACATGATGAGCAGCCAGACATTGAAGGTATCATGTGATTGTTACGTGTGACAAGGCAAACTCAATTAATGAAGAATCTCTTAAATTTCAAGAGGTTTAGAGACGTACACAGTGAAGTATTCGTATGTTTATTCTAATTTTTCCAATGTCAGAATCAGTCTTCTGGCCTTTCGAAACACAAATAGCTAGGAGGGGCTCCTCAAACTTTCTTTCGGTGGTGTCGAGTCCACATTTCTATCCAACGTCCAACCCCCCCTGCCTTCAATACCAGAATGGACCACATCGTCTTATAACAGGATTCATGGTTATCTTTGTGATGAGAGTTCGAAAGGCAAAGATTCGTCAACAAATATCATAAGATTCCATCAAACCTTTAAACTTAAAAGAGGGGACCTTACAGTGACACGCTGTTGCCGATGTGGATGCATAAATCTGCACCGGGAGCTCCATCATCAATTCGATCAAAAATCAGCTTTATCATGAATGTCCCTATCAACAGCCCATACAAGCAAACCAGCAGCTGCTGAATTTTAAGAATGACAACTTTTCAATCAACCCTTCCTAACATATCAAACTTCATCCTTTGACATAGCAGGCGATCTTATTGAGGTTACACTTATAAAGGGTATTTGATTATTTCATTAGAAACCAAGTTTCGATATTTCATTGACCAGCTAGTGTCGCATTAAGGTGTTCTTAAGAGGATGCAAGATTATGATTGACTATGTCCAATGACCAACAAGCTGAATACTCCTACATGCTCAAAAAATTGTTACAGCAATGGTCTTAAACACAAATAAAATAGTGGTCATTGATGATATCCAACCAAATTCAAATCTCAAACTGTTTTTACACCATGAAGCCAATAATCATCAAAATCCTCCTTTGAGGCTCATGTAATCTCTTCCTCATTTTGTCCATTACGTTGCCGGTTCCCCATCTTTCTCACCAGCTACAACATCAGTTGTTTTTGAAGGTGGTTCTGCACATGCCCTCAAAACAGCTTCATTCTGAAAGAAATAAACATTTCCAATATCTCAAAAACATATACATTTTGAAACATGATATCTAAAATACATTAAGCAAAACATATAATTATCCAGGAGTCACAAGTTTTGTCATCAACATCCTGCAAATTCATTGGTATACAGGGTAAACAAAGAGGGTAATTGCAGTAGCCTAGACTCAATTTCAGAGTTCTGCAGCCAAAAAGAAAAGCCCAATTTCATATATGCAAGTTGATATGAACTTTTACAACCATGAAAGAATATAAAATGAATAACATAAAGCAAAGAGTAAAGATATGAAAAGCGTTAAACCCATTCAAGCGACTGCAAAGACACGGCAATTTCATTATAGAGAAATCAGCAGAGTTTGATTTCAGTTTCCTTTACAAGAGGGGTGGGGGTGGGGTGTTGAGATTATCTGGGTTTGATTCCACGGTTTTTTTTTTTTTTTTAATTTTATAAGATTGGTGTTTCTTAAATGGTTATAGATTTGTGGCTTTTCAGCCGGACACCTAGACCTCATAGGAAGTAAAACTGGTGATAGACTAGCTAAGTTCCAACAGCAGCAAATCGAATCTCTGAATCCCTAAACAAAGGCTATGACAGGTTTCTTTCATATAATTATTTGAAGTCATAAGTCTATTTCACAGATACGGAGCATAGAATAGGATTTGAATCCACCATCTGAAGGCCAGTGAAAAGGTCATGTACTTAAGTTTACCAAAATAATGTTGTCTCAAACAATGACATGTTTGTAACTGAATAATTTCTTCTTTGCAGATGGTAAAAACTCAAGGAATGTTTAGATGCAAGCAAAAGAATAGGAGAAAAAAATAAAGGTCCAGATATAATACATGCTGATTCGCTTAACTTAGTACCCGCATGACAACAAATTGATGGCAGGTTGGCAACTGACAACCTAGTGTTAGAAACCTAAACCACATTATGTCCATGTAGCACAGATTCAATCATTCAACCAGTCAAAGTTTTAGATATAGTGTAAACATGTTGCAGGGCCACCCGAATCCAGTACTATTTCTTCTTCAGTACTCGAGATTTACCATCCCTTTTCTGAATCCTTGGGTTCAAAACACTCAAGTTCATTGATCAAACACATCTAGTGCCAGCCTATGTCTGTAAGTCCCTTAAAACAACCCAAACAGATCTTCAACTCTCAAAAATTTGTTCTACATCACAATTGAATATCCCAATGCCAATTGCCATGAAATAGAAGAACAAGTTTCTGTGGACTAAAGAAGAGGGACGCACACACAAACACAAAGAGGAAAAAATCACTCTTGAAAACCCTTAAGAGCAAATCCAGATTAACAAAATTCTAAACCAAATGAAATTAAACTCTCCATGCCATCTCTAATGGGGTATGCAAAACTTGCAACTACAGTCAGCGTCTGAGCCCAAATATATATAGGTCTAGATGTAAAAAACTGTCAATGTCTACTTGAACCTTGTATCTTGTAGGTGAAAACCTTCCCCCACAATGTATATTTGCCTTGAATTCTAACTAGTTCCCAAGAAGCAATTGAATCAATTCAGGAACCATTATCATCGCTATCCAAGTAGAAAATAGTTTTGGCATAAAAAAGATTAAGCATTGAAACGATAAGAACATGTGTAAACAAGCTAAAAATATAAACCCTAAAAAATAAAAAAAAAAAAGAGACAAAAAGGTAAGAGTTTTAGGACCTGCCAAACGCGATGGAGACGTTTCTTGGCGTTGGCTTTGCGGTAGAAGTGAGCTTAATTCTCTTCCAAACGAGGCCTCCGGAGTCGTGCTTTTTCACTATCTCCATCACTCTTGTTCCCCAAAATGCTCCTATTCCCCCTGCCATCTCTGTCGTCCACTCTCTCCTCCGCTTCCCTCAGCTCACAACTCTTTACCATTTTCCACCGGGAAAGTGTTTCGAAATACACAAAGCCCATACTCTGGATTTGGGCCGATCCATAAACAAAGGCCTCATACTGATACCCATTGACCCCATCTCCCACACTATTAGTTAGGAAAGCCGTGCTTATAGCTTTTAATGACTTGACACTAGTGTTTCTTTTTTCTTTTTGGGCTGGTTGGGGTGGGGGGGAAGGGGTTGTGGATGTAGGGGGACGTATACAAGCAGACAATTAAAGTATTTTTGTGTAACATGCGAGAATTATCATTATATATTGGCATTAATGGAGTAGGGATAACAACTATTTATCAATTAGCTAAGTTATTCTGGGAAGGTTTTACTGTTGGTAAAGAGATTGCAATTAAACCTATCTAGTTGTGGAATCGGATTGGATGCAGCAATCGTTGCTCAATTTTTGAGGGAGGGTGTGGTGACATCTCATTCATGTGCTATTCTAATTTATGATTGTATTGCTTTGATCCAAGAAGGTTAGGTGAGGGATATTCGTCATATATTCAGAAAAACAATATGTGTACAGATTTCCTTGCTAACTTGGCTCAATATTGTCCTTTGGAACGACTAGGGGTGTGCATTGGTCGGTTCGGTCGGTTTTCGGTCGGTTTTGACGAAAAACCGACTAAAAAATTTTTGAGATATAACCGACCGAACTGCTATAGTATAAAGTCGGTTTCGGTCGGTTTCGGTCGGTTTTTTATGATAAGATCAATGGGTTCACTTAGGTTGATTTGGACTAAAATAAACTAAAATGGTTAAAGATTAATGGCTAAAATGACTCGTGGGAGACTGGGAGTGGGGCAAGCTCAGGCCGGCAGGGGGGAATCGCGGACTCGTGGCGGGGGGGCAGGGGGGAATCGGGACTCGTGGGAAGGGGGCCGGGGGAATCGGTAGGAGTGGGAGGGGGAGCCGGGGGGAATCAAGTCGGGTCCGTCGAGGGGGGACTGGGAGCCTGGGAGGGGGGCCGGCTGGCCAGGGAAATCATTCAATCAACACAACAATCAGGAGTCGGGGGGGGGGGGGGTCGTGGGGAAATAGTAAGGGGGGGCCATGGGTAGCCGGGGGGCTCAGTTTTTTCGATCGGTTCGAGGGGAAAGGATTCCCCCGACGACCGAGCAGATCAGTCGACGAGGCCAATCGGCACAACCGACGATTGCAAAAACAACCGTCGGTTACAATAACCGACGGTTGCAGTCGGTTGGGTGGTTCCAACCGACGCTGCTCTCCCCTAGAACGACTACCTTGATAATCCACTTTAGATTTGCGTCCGTTACTTGTTAGGACAAGATAGGTTCTCTTAGTCTAAGAAGTTAAGCAGGTTTTTTTTTTTTTTTTCCGGTTCTTATATACCTAGAAAAAACAACTAAGTTATTATTTCCCTTATTAAGTTTTTTTAAATAATTCAACCATCCAATGATAATTCATTTTCACCTTACTTTTTTTATTGCCGTCCAACTAAAAGAAAATATTAAATCTAATAATTTTCAAGTTAGAATGATGAAAATCAATCTTTTGTGGTCCATGAACAATATTGTCAGTCATGCTTTCAAGATTTAGTACTATATGCCTAAGGTCGGTTTCGATGTGCAGGGTAGTTTGATGGGAGACGTTCCCTACTGTGTTGACCATCTTAATGGATCCAATGCCATTTAGGGGAGTTAATGCGACGGGAAAGAGCTTTTACTACACTATTCTGCATATACCAATTAAGATCTAAATAAACTAACTAAACTAAATAAACCTTGCTCGTCATAATTTTTTGATGGTCTTAATGCCATATGAGGCCACAGTCCAAATTTGGTTTGCTTTCATGTCATTCATTTCGATTTTCACAACTTCTTTTAATTTATTGAAATCAATGTCTAACATTGCTTCCTCACACGTAGTAGGTTCATCATATTAATAATTCTATTATATAAAGTTATTTTATTACATTTTGAATACTAAAATCGTTAAATCTTTGTGTTTTTTAAGTTGGTTTTAGGTAGTTTTTATATTTTTTTATTAATAAGTTTAAAGCATATTAACCTACTCTAATGCAAGTAATTCTAGCTAAATTTCATGTTAAAAGTCCTAATTTGAGTCATTACTGATTTACTCTTGTTTTGGAAGGTTCTCAAGTGCACAAAGTTAATGGATGATGAATTGTGCAAGAATGGCTAGGTGCAGACTCTTATTGAACATGTTGCGGTATTTTTGGCATAATTCGCACTACAGAAGTCTAATCAATATGATTCTTAAACCATTAGAAAACTAAGAGGCAGAACCACAATTTTTGTGATCCATTTTGCCCATATTATCCTTGAGGTAGGAGAAAATTACGTTGAAAAAGGAAGGACTGCTATAATTTTTGCACAAGGCAACATGAAGGAGTGGAAGGATGCGGCCTCGAAGACCCAAGGCTGAGGTGCTCTGATGCCACAAGTCCCCATACACTTTCCCAAGAGCTTAGCACTGTGAGGGTCAAGGAAGAAGATCGCGGCACTAGATGCTAAATGTGGCCGAGCTATTGTCTCAATGAGTAAGGTCACGATGCTTTGATGTGTATTAGTAAAAAATCTACATTTTAGGTTTTTAAGTTTAGGGCTTTTTGAGAGATTATAAATAGGATTTTTTTTTATCAAAAAAGAGTAAGACAGAGTGATGGTTTTTTAAGAGAAAAAAGAAGAGTTCTACACAAGAGGAAACGAGAAAAAATCAATGAGGATTAATCAGGATCGGAATCGACAGAAAACCTGTTCCCTTTTTTTTTTCTCTTTCTTTTGTTGTAAACATGAATTATTTTCTTGAGAAAATGTTGTTTGCCACAGAAATGATGAACTAAATTAATTTTTTAGGATTGTGGTGGATTTCAATATGTAATTTGAATATTTTTTTTATTTATTATGAATGGATATAGTGATGTTTAATGAATTTTGTATGTTTTGTCTTTGATTGTCTGATTAGCGATTGATTAGTTATGAAAATCTAAATGAAACTTGACAGAGTAATTTTAGATTAGACTAAGTTTTGAATAGCTTGTATTCATGTCACTTAGAAATTAGGTGATTTGACTAGCAATCAGCGTAGACATACACCTAAATGCAACATCAAGTCAAGTTAGAACGTTTGCTTAATGAACCATCTTTAATTGATTACTATAGGTATATATAGTGATGTAGTTAAGTTAGGTATGTGTACAAAGCATCTTAACGAAGACTTGTACATAAGTTTGGATTCTAGGTTAGCAACACTAGCATGAATTTAAGTATTAAGAGAAATGTATTCAAGATGAAATGTTGAATGAATCTATGATCCTAGGCCTTTAATCTATTGCTTTTCTAGTAAATTTCCAACCTTCATTCCTTAGTTTAGTGTTTAACTGAATTTAGTTTTTAATTAATCTTTCAAAAATTAAGTTACTTGGATAAGATTAGTTTATTAAAATTTTAATACTTAGTGAGAATTTATGAGCAAATCCTTGTGGGATATGATATTGGATTTACTGTCTATATTACTTGTTCGATATATATATTTATTTATATTAAATTTACAACAAGTACATCCTTATCCATGAGAAATCTATTATTTTTTGGAACTTGAAATATATTACTAGAAGTTCAGAGTTGTGGTGTACTGTGAGCTTTCGACTACACATCCGATGTAGTCATAGGCTCAAGTTTTATAAAGGTTCCACTTTATGGCTCTTGAACTCTTCAAGCACTCTTTTACTCCCAGTACCCTTTTCCAACAAGAACAATTTCTCTAGAAAGTGATATACTTCAAGACAAACACCTTGTGCTCGATGGGATTATAAAAGTAATATTGAGCAAACTCCTTATGATATCCCATAAAGTTACTTTATTTGACCTTGCTCCAAGGTTGTCATGTTATGCACATTTCTCATAAGTTGTGCAACCTCAAATCTTAATGTATAACAAGTTTAGTCTTTTACCTTTCATATCTTTGCCTGTTGATCCTTGATGCACTGATTCAAACGTTTGGCCTTGTGAAAAGCTACATGCAGCTCTACACTTAGCTCTTGTAACTTCTTTGATAGGTTAGGCTACTATGGGAGGTGTCATCAAAACAGGTTGGGAAACATTGTGTGACGATCCATGAAATGGTGGGGCTCTAGAGAAATCCCTCCTCATGTGCCTTAATTGGCCATAGTAGAAAATAGAGTCTCACGACGCGATGGCATAACCCTTTGTCAAAATTCTCACATAAGGGACATAGTGCAGCTAACTAGCTACTCGGCCCAAAGACCTATTGTCTTGATATGATAACAACCCTCTTATCCTATTGGGTACTCACGCTAACTAAGACATTACCATACTGGGACCCATAAGACTACAAGGCTCTTTATTGGCCCTGTCGGCCTGTGAAGGATGAACCTCGTCCAACATTAACATCCCTTCGGCCTTGATGGCCCTCAATTTTCACCTCCTTGGCTTTCTATCGAGTTGCCCAACTTTTCATGTCCTCATTTCTATCCTCTAAGCACAACCAACTACCGAGGCAGAGGTACTAAATGCCTTATCTCTATCCTCTGAGCATAATCAATTAGTAAGGCATAGGTACCAAATGCTTGTGATGCTATGGCCCCTAAACAGTGGCTTTACTAGACTATCTAAAAATCTTCTGATCCTTATCTCCTCAGTAGAAACAAGGTACAATGCATACAAGGATGGTTGTGTAAATTGGATATCGTATGCTAGGCATTTGTACCAACGCCTCAAACTCGCGACTTTGGTAGCTTATGCGCTAGTTGGAAGAAATTGACTCAAAAATGCTACACTGAAATCCTCTCATGTCGATGGGTTGGAATTAATTGGTTTACTCTTATGTAGAAAATCATACCATAAGTGTACTACATCCTTCAGCTTAAGCCAGCCAACTCCACTAATCAAGCACCAGAACATCCCAGAGCAGTACAAATTTTCTCCATA